ACAACCACCAATCGTGTGACATCCTACTCGAATTTCCAACACTTAAATGTCCCTAAAGAAATAGCCTCCAATAAGCTTCAAAGTAAGCATTATTCTCGTCCTACAAAATTAGATATCGATCATCATCATCATCCTCTTCCTAAATTTAACGAACAAAAGACCGTCACATTATTATCCAATGACAACAACAACAATAAGAATTCAAGTTTGAACCTGAAGTTCAATCTCATTCATAGGGACAAGCTTAGCAATAAACTATCAGCATCTGGCAAGCACAAGCATGATCACACCCATCGATTCTCGCTCCGAATACAGCGCGACATCAAGCGAGTTACCGGCCTCATTCACCGCCTTTCGAATGCTAACACTAGTGGTGTGGATGATTACAAGATGGTGGAGTCATTCGGGTCGGACGTGGTTTCGGGTATGGATCAAGGGAGTGGAGAGTACTTCATAAGGTTAGGAGTAGGAAGTCCTCCAAGAAAACAATATGTTGTCATTGACTCAGGAAGTGACATTGTTTGGGTACAATGCCAACCTTGCAAACTATGTTACAAACAATCTGACCCGGTATTCAACCCGGCCCAATCAGCCTCGTATTCGGGTGTCTCGTGCTCGTCGTCCGTGTGTAGTCGGATTCAAAACTCGGGTTGCAGCCACGCGGACCGATGCCGGTACGAGGTGCTATACAGTGACGGATCTTACACCAAGGGGAACCTTGCATTCGAGACCATCACAATTGGTGGGACTGTTGTAAGGAACGTTGCTATGGGTTGTGGACATAGTAATCAAGGCATGTTTGTTGGGGCTGCTGGTTTGTTGGGGTTAGGTGGTGGGTCCATGTCTTTTGTAGGCCAACTTGGGGGTCAAACTGGTGGAGCCTTTAGTTATTGTCTAGTGAGCCGGGGGTCTGGTACCCCCGGCTCACTAGTATTTGGACGAGAAGCTATGCCCGTGGGGGCTGCTTGGATCAACTTAGTCCGCAGTCCCCGGGCCCCTAGCTTCTACTACATAGGGCTGATGGGACTCGGGGTAGGCGGGGTTCGAGTCCCGCTCCCTGAAGGTGTGTTTGACCTCACCGGGTCAGGAGATGGCGGAGTGGTCATGGACACGGGCACAGCCGTGACCAGGTTTCCTACCACCGCCTACCAAGCTTTTCGGGACTCATTCTTGACCCAAACCGCCAACCTTCCCCGGGCCTCAGGGGTGTTGATTTTCGACACATGCTATAACTTGGCCGGGTTCGGGTCAGTGCGAGTCCCGACCGTATCTTTCTACTTTACGGACGGGCCAATATTGACCCTCCCGGCCAAGAACTTCTTGATCCCTATAGACGAAGCGGGTACGTTTTGCTTCGCTTTTGCTCCTTCATCTTCAGGACTGTCCATCATAGGAAATATTCAACAAGAGGGTATTCAAATATCTATTGATGGTTCCAATGGTTTTGTAGGATTCGGACCTAATATCTGCTGAATGTTTATGAAGTTATCAACAACCAGCAATTGATTGAATTACCAATTTTATAGTCATCATACTGCTATAGTATAGTAGTAACTCTACTAAGTAGTAATAGTAATAGTAATACAGGATCCCATTTGTAAAGTTGTTTTTTTTTTTTTCTTTTTGAAATTTTTGGCCTATATTATTACTCTTTTTCAAGTCAACTTTTGTTACTGCTATGATCGATTATGATTGTATTGATAAGCAGTGGCGGACCCAGGAATTTCCGACTGGTGAGTCACAATTGATAATCAAATATGTAAAAGAAAAAATTTACCAAAATTCCCAAGAAAAATTATTTACAAAGATCATCCAAATAGAAAATTGACAAGATTACAGTACTAACTAATAATTAACAAGCTTAAAATTGACAAGACTAAAATTAACAAACTAATAATTAACAAGCTAATAATTGACAACATGACAAGCTTAGCTCTCTAATAATTAACAAACTAATAATTGACAAGATTAAAATTTGTACAAGCATTAGGTTCACATTTCATCAAAAACCCAACAACATTAACAAAAGGTTCAAAATTAGTATTTTTTTTTTAAAAAAAAAACTTAGAAAATAATTTATTTATTTATTTTTTTAAAAAAACTTAAAAAATATTTTGGGCCCTGGTGAGTCATTTGACCCACCAGGCATAAGGCCAAGTCCGCCAATGTTGATAAGTGTAATTGATAAATAACACCAATATATTATATGTAATACAGTAATAGTATGATAATCTCTCTGTATACACGTGAGCTTGCATATAGTAGTATATGTTTAGACTTTGTTAATTAATCAAGTTTAAGATCCAAAAAGGGATGACAATTAACACAAGGATTTATTTAGGTGCAAGAATTGGTGTTGAGATTAAAGAGAACATGAAGTATAATAGTGGGGTCATCAATAATTATTGATGTTTAGAGGTGATATTCAAAGAGAGAGTAAAAGGTTTGGGTGGGAAAAGCTAATTATAGCAGTAGACAGTCAAACAAAACAATATGCAATTATTACCATTTTCCAGGTTACAACTTACAAGGGTGACCCTTTTGGCCAACTGTAAGAATCCAAAGGTTTTTCTTGCTAGATTTTTTAATTTAACATAACTATGTATGACGTATAATAATTTTTCAAAATGGTTACCCAAGTTGTATCAGAGCATTTAAATTGAAGGTTTAGCCTAGCACGGTGCATTGATGTCATAATTTCACGCGCATTTTTGTTTTCTACCAATAATCTTAAGTAGATCGTAGGCGTTAGTAGTAGTAGTAGTGAAAGTAATTTAAGAAAGTTAATTATACAAATAAACATGTAAAAATGGGCGACAATGACATACGAGTAGTTGTTTGTCCAAACGCACCATGCACCTTCCTATCTTTGGCAGCACTTTTCATTATCAAATAACAGTGAAATGAAATGTACAAATAATAAAAGAAAAAGGGGTTTTAGAAATGATGAAGCACAAATAAATGTGTTTGTGGCTAGGCTGTGTGTGTACATGTGAAAGCATGAGTAAACTCTCTTTAACTGCATTTACATACTTAGCTGCTTGTATTGTATTAGAGTCCTCTCAACCAAAGACTTTTTATCTGCAAAGGTACTACTCACTTTTCCCCTCTTTTCATTGATTTTTTACACTAAAGATGACCCAACTCCAACCCTTCCCTTTTCTGCTTTTCATGTCTCTATTAGCCATTCATTTTTCAGCTAACTCCTACTTCTATTATGGTTATATGACACCATTTTCCTTATACCACGTTACTATTGTCAAGTCCCATTATATTATGACATCACATCATTGCAAATATAATTACATAATATAATATCATTACACTTATATGACATCTACACTTATTCGATTCATATTTGTCAAGTCACATCACTTCAATATACTTCTATGACATCATAATATTTATACATATGACATCATTCTATTCATATGACATCATTATTCTCAAGTCACATAACTTTAATATACTTTTATGACATCATTATATTTCAAAATTTCATGAATTTCAAAATAAGAACATAACTCATTATTGGTACTTTATAGACATCTTTATAGGTGTGTTATAGTTTCAAACCACCTTATATGACCCCATGAGTCACCCCACGCATTCAGTTCATAAAAATTGACCCGAAATTGTGTATTTTAGCCTTCAATTTTTGACAATTTTTCATCTTTTAGACCCGGAAACAAAAATTGTCGAGATGTTTCCCATAGACCCCAATCCACCTCGAGAGTCCAACTAGGTGGGTAAAACCATCCAATATATTTTCAAACTGTCAATTTATTCGTTTACAACTTGCACCCATTTCATAAACTCGAGGCTATCACGGACCTTTATGGCAACATATAATGATCATATATGATTTCAAACGACATTATGTGACTCTGGAAACCTCCGAAATTGGTCAAAAAGTGTGTATTATAACCTTTATTTTGTCAATTTTCGACTTTTTTAAACTCGAAAACAAAAATTGCCAAGAAGCTACTAATAGACCCTTATACCCTCCAGGAGTCCAATTGGGTGGGTGGAACCATCCAAATTGCCTCTAAGCATCTAATTTACCAGTTTCCGTTCATGCCTCTTGTATTGGCTATAAGCTTCCACGGGGCCTTTATGTAGCCGACTTATGGTCTTATATGGGTCCAAACAACATCATATGACCTCGAGATGTATCCCGTACAATTCCGTGAATTTTTTACACCAGGTCCCGACACTTCCTAAATTGCTCCAAATTCGTGTATTATAGCCTTCAAAGTTGGCTTCCGTACATCATTTTTTCACCCGGAAATATTATGCATCCAAGTACTTCCATGGGTTCCCAAATGCCCTTGGGAGTCATGGATAATGCCCAGAACCATCTCATTCATCCTTAATCCTCATGTCTTAATGCAACGACGACATGCCCTTAAACGACAAAACTAGGTGTCTGTATGCCTTATCCTTGGGTGCACATGTCTTGTGCACATGCCACACGCCCCCTTGCACCATCCCACACCTAAAAATTATATCAACATTTTATTAGATAGTGCGTTACAACATTTTATCTATTAAGTAGTTTCTTACATCATTTTTATTAAGTACGTAGTTTCTTATAAACTTTGGGTTTTATTAGGTAATTTTTGACAAAAAAAAAAACTTATTAGATCTATCAATGCATGTAGTAGGAAAATACCAACTTTTAGAGCTAAACCGTATAGTTGTATAGACCATTGAAAGCCAAATGTTGCAACTAATTTATTTGAAATGTTACTTCCTCTTAAATTAAGTAGATATGTTTTAATTTCCCTCAAAAAAGTTGATATGTTTTTATAATTAATATCTCTAATTATCAAAAAGTTGATATCAAGAAATTATATATTAAGATAATTTAATTATGCAACGTCCCAAATGACTATGTTTATATTAAATCACAAAATCTCATCAAATTGGTGTTCGTAAATAGAGAAAAATAAAACTGTAAGAAATATAAATTTTTGCATACCACTAGGTCAGGGAACTTGTTCAGTTTTGACTCAATTTGAGCTTCGGCTGAAACATCCAGATTGTTGTTGATGACAAAGTGATCAAAAAGAGTTTGTGCAGAAACACCCTCCTTATTTTCTATGGAAAAATTAGCATTATGTTCAACCATAGCTTTCACCATTCTGAAATCATGGTTCATCATAGCTATATGCATTGGTGTGTTCCCGTCATGATCCTGCTTATTGACGAGCAACACAGGAATTTCTGGCTTTTCCAAAAATCTCCTTGCATCTAAGAAAGTCGGAAATCTTATGTAATGTAACACATTTTTGCCCTTTGGATCACATACCTCAATTGATTATGGCATTAACAACAAGTAAATTAGAGCGAACTGCAGCTTTAAGTAGAGGGGTCATCCCATCTGCATCACATAAACAACATACCTCACTATTTGTCTGTAATAACGACCTTACCAAGGATAGTGAGATGTCTTCCTTTTCTTGTACGAAACTAAAACTTTTGGTAGACAATGCTGCCCCTTGGTTATTAAGCGAGTTTATCATATGTATCGCTGACATTTCAGTACCTGTAACATATATGTTTTCTGATTAAAAATAAAAACTAAACACTAAATTAGAAATAAAATTCATAATTAATTAAGAGAAATGTATTCCGGTCTATATCTTCTACCACATAATTGCTTATCATCCTCTCAATTTTTTAAAATCGGAAGTACGCACCTTTAGCGTCATACATAACGGCGAGATGAAGTGGAGTTTGTTTGAGATTGTTAGTGTAGGCAGCCACTTCAGGACCAACCTCAGTCAAGTAAGCAGCAACTTGAATACTTTTGCCTCCATTCATCAATGCCACATGAAGCGGGGTGTTACCCTCTACATTTTGCACCCTCCAGGGGGACGCCGCTGCCATCATCTGATTTTCTCCCTCTTTATCCTCTGAAGTGAAAAGGCGGTGGTAGGAGGTAATAAGGAGCTCAGCTAGTGCTTGAGTACGTTGTTTGGCAGCAAAATGGAGAGGTGTATCACCATCGGAGTTTGTTTTGCAAATGAGCTCTCTTTGGTCAGCGAGTTCAAAGCATTCCAAAGCAGCCTTGATGAACTCAAGGTGACCAAATAGGGCAGCGACATGGATGATGTTATTACCTTGGCTTGTTAACCCAAGGAGATCGTCGTCGCTGTAGATAGCCGCCGCGGCTTCCACGTCTTTGGCCTTGGCTTCTTTGAGAAACTCTACATTTCCAGTAGCTGCTGCCTGGTAGATTTCTTTCTTCATCGTATACTTAAATGGCTAGTTAACTTTTGTTTCTTAATCCAGAATTTGAAATTGAAACCCAACTCAAGTGTATAGCCGAGTTTTGGCAGAGAAGAAATTATGAGAAATGGAAGTTGATAATGTACAAGGCAGAGAATTGTGATGGGGAGGATAAAAGGCTAATACTGAAATTAAACATTTTAATTTGAACATACATGTGAAAATTTCAAGGAAATCATGCTTTATTTAAAAGGAGGGGTAGAGCATGAAAGTATGGGCCTGTTCTAATTGACTGACTGAGCTGAACTGAACTGAATTGAATTGAATTGAACTCAACTGAACTTATTGGAGCTAAACTGAACTGAACTGAACTAAACTGAATATTTTATAAGAGGGGGATAATAAGATAAGTGAACTGAACTGAACTGAAATTAAGCTGAAGAGAACATGCCTGACTGATACAGAGGAGAGAGATAATCTCAATTATTGGATTTCGTTCCCTTATTTTTGTTGTTTTTGTTTTGGTTTTTTCAACACATCTTAATTGCATACATAGTTGAATAATTTTATCAAAAAATTTAACACAAAGATTAGATTTCATAAAATCTCAAACTTAAAGTGCATGTCACATGGCACACCCCAACACTTTGGCTTTGTGACTTGTCTCAATCCACTACTTAGCATTTTTTTAGCATATAAGAAGCACTACTAACCTTTCCAAAATATAGGTGTTTTTAGGGAATTGAATAGGGTGGGGGGGGGGGACGAATCGAAGCGACATAGGGCTAAATCTAGTGGATCATGGCAGCAAGGCCACTCTAACACTTACAATACACCGCGCGAGCTTAGCCTACGACACGTGCTCTTGGGGGCGAAGCCCCTACTGTAGGACGGCAATCGGGCGGCGGCGCATGTGTCGCTTCTGGCCTGGATTCTAACTTAGAGACGTTCAGTCATAATCCAACACACGGTAGCTTCGCGCCACTGGCTTTTCAACTAAGCGCGATGACCAACTGTGTGAATCAACGGTTCCTCTCGTACTAGGTTGAATTACCACTCCCCTTGTCTGTACCAGTTCTGAGTTGACTGTTCGACGCCCAGGGAAGGCCCTAGAAAGGACTGTTCCCAGTCCGTCCCCCTGGCCAGCACGCGGCGACCCGCTCTCGCCACGGAAGCAGCTCGAGCAGTCTGCCGACAGCCGACGAGTTTAGGACTGGGACCCCCGTGCCCAGTCCTAAAAGCCAATCCTTTTCCTGAACTTACGGATCCATTTTTCCGACTTCCCTTACCTAAAATTGTTCCATCGACCAGAGGTTGTTCACCTTGGAGACCTAATGCGTTTATGAGTACGACCGGGCGTGGTCGGTACTCGATCCTCCGGATTTTTAAGGGCCGATGGGGGCGCACCGAACACCACAAAACGTGAGGTGCTCTTCCAGCCGCTGGACCTTACCTTAGGCTGAGCCGATTTCAGGGTGGGCAGACTATTAAACAGAAAAGATAACTCTTCCCAAGGCCCCTGTCGACGTCTCCGGACTTCCTAACGTTGCCGTCAACCGCCATGTCCCGGTTCAGGAATTTTAACTAGATTCCCTTTCGAAGCTCGTGCAAAACGCGCTATCAAACATGCTTCCCCCGTCTCTTAGGATCGACTAACCCATGTGCAAGTGTCGTTCACATGGAACCTTTCCCCTCTTCGGCCTTCAAAGTTCTCATTTGAATATTAGCTACAATTCGGACGACGAAGCAGCCCGATTTTAAAGTTGGGTTGTTCCCGATTCGTTCTCCGTTACTAGGGGAATCCTTGTAAGTTTCTTTTCCTCTGCTCATTGATATGCTTAAACTCAGCGGGTAGCCCCGTCTGACCTGAGGTCGCAACGGTTTTTCCGCCCCTAAGGGCGAACAAACTAAGGGTCCTACGAGTCCTCAACAGCTAATGTTTGGAATCCATATTATGCAAGGAGACATCGCATTTGCTAATTCGAATTGAAGGGTGATAGAAAATTGGAGTGTACGACTCCGATGCATCCTAGGCTAGGCCTTGTGACACGGTCCGGGAGTTTGGGCCCCGAAACGTGCGGCGCGCTCTAGCCTTTTCGCGGCTAGAACGCTAGCATTGAGCGAAAAAGGGGCTTGTGAGCACAAAGCAACAAAAGCAGACAATTATGTCTCAGGAGCACTCACGTCTATCCGGGAGATGGAGTACGGGTGTTCGGGGATTGTGACGACAAATACTTTGATGCGGGCACAAGTATATTGAAGTGATGTGACTTGAGAATAACTGCCCACTACTTGGAAGTATATTGAAGTGATGTGATACCGGGGAAATTGGACCGAGTATTCAAGACCCGAAGAGGAAATCCAGATTGGCCCGAAGAATTGGAGCTCAATCGAAGTCCAAAGAGTGGCCCAAGAGTGTCGCCCGGCCAAAGGAGCTACCGCCCGAAGGCGCGCCCGGCTGGGCGGGGGAAGCAAGGTCGGCGCCCGAACTCACGCCCGGCCGGGCGCGAGAAACGTACCTGATGAGAAAAAAGCGCGCCCGATCGGGCGGGTGTTATTATTAGGAGACGATTAGCATCGTTTAAGTTTATTTTAGTTTAGGATTCTTGCTTAATATAAATACTTCTCCGTTTAGCGAGTTTAGGAGCTTCTTTTTAACTCTTTCTTAATTATTTCTTAGATTTTCTCTCTCTACTTAGCTTTTAGATTAGTTTCTCTCTCTCTAATACTTTGTTCTTAACTCTATTCTTAATTCCAGATTTCTTTGGTAACGATTTCTTTTCTCTTAATCTTAGTTATTTATTTTATTCTTTTGATCATGTCTTGTTTTATTATTTTGATTAGTTTAGATTTAATTATGTGTGAGTAGTTCTATTTCTAGGGTTTATGGGATCCTTAAATAATATGAAGGGGTAATTTATTGTTATCGATTGTCAATGCTAGACTAATTTCCTATTGATTGATTTAATGCTCTGTGACTAGATTTGCGCAGATCTTTTATGCATGAGTTTAACAATATTGATTCGAGATTCGGGAGATGAGAATTGATGTTTAGGTTTAGTTTCAATAGGCAGGTTAATTTATAAATACCGGTAAATTAATTGTGTGATTATAATACGTAGCGAAAGCCCTTTATAATCTGATTAATTATGCATTGATGATTGATTATTATGTTTTACCCTGGAATGTTATTTATTGGTGAACCTATACCCTAGGCCTTTTATTCATTGTTTTCTCCTTACTCTTAATCTTCTTAGTTTAGTTTCCTTTGATTACAATATTTTGGTTACTTTATAATTTAGATTGCTTGAATTAATTAGGAATAGAAAGACCCGTTTCTTTGTGGATTCGACCCTACTTCCCTATCTATTATTAGTTAGTGCTTTTAGGAATTACTTTTGATTAGGTGATACGACTATAGTCTGTCATCCACGTACATGGGGAGTTTATCCATGTTCAAGATGCTCCCATAACTGCTTGGTAACCGCCACACCCCACTATGCCATGTTCCTACATTTTAAGATCATGCATCAGTGTGCATAGGTGGCGCTCAACAGCCTGATAAGTGTAACCGCCCACTCCCCTAGTGTTCCTATTTTCTAAGGCCACTAAGTGAGTGAAGTAACTGCCACATGACGTGGCATTATCCTCTGATAATAACTACCCACGTTCATGGTTACACCCCACTACTTTGGTGTTCCTATTTTATAGCAGGTATCGTCTTTGTATTGGCTTAACCGCATTCCTGTTTGACCGTTGTCAAGATAATCGTTAGTCAACTCACAAACATCATGGTCCGATATTTTAGGAACCATACTTAGCCACGTGCCACGTCAGCTTAACCGTCCCAACAATTTAGGGAGAGTGGTGCAACGTGGGTGGTTACCTCAACCGCCCACTATCCCCACTACTCATCCAATCCCTAGATTTAAGGCAACCGCATGTAACCACAATGACTAAGCCTAACTGTCAAGGAGTCCCTTATATAAATAGTCCACCGGGAAAGCTTTGGGTAGACTATCTACAAGCCAAGGTTGTTCCTTATCATCAAGCGTATGGCCACGCAAGTCCATGGTTCCCTCGGAGGCACCATAGTCATCGTTGACCCAGGCTGCACTCATTCCTCCATGCCGGAGCCACTGCGGTTACCACCATAGAGACATCCCAACATGATTCCAAGAGCATCCCTTAGTCAAACCACGCACCACCTAGCTAGCATGCACCGTACTAAGCCCTCAACCTTCGTTGGTCACCCCGCTTATGTCCTATTCGGGACTATCGAGTCGATTTGTCCTATCGATCGTCCACCATAGCCATCCAAGTGTGCTATAGTCTCCATAGTCTATCCTATGTCCAAGACTATGCCCAAGGCCCCTAGCCAGAAGGCCACCATAAGGTCAGCCACTGACCCCTTGAGTGATCACGCGCCCCCTAAAGTGCTTTATTTTGATCTGATCTAGTCATGAAATACTAGTGAACACCTAACTGAAAATAACACAATAATGGGCTCTCAAGCCCGATGCTCGAACCCAACCTGGGCCCTATAGTCATGTATGATCTTTTAGGGTCGTAATAAGTCCCCTAAATAAGTATCAAAGGTTGTTATGGAGTTTTGCTCAACCAAATACTCAGAGGTTCTTCTGGTGCACGTGCGCATGCGCCAGCCATGGCCCAAGGCTTAGCCGACCAAGGCTTTGCTAGCACCATGGGCTAAGTACTCAGGGTTCATGCCTAATAACCTTACAAGCCTTAGACATGATAGTGAGCAACTCTAGCCTCACTTGGCTCGTTCTTCTAGAATCGAGCACGCACTATATCGTGTGGGCAAGTGGGATCCCGAAGACCTTGCGCGCCTATGCGGGGTGGTCGACAGCCTTGCCTAGGTCAACCCAAAAGTGACCGTGTCGGTATTCCAGTATCCTACCATCGAAAGTTGATAGGGAAAAAAATTGAATGATGCGTCGCCAACGCAAAAGCCGTGCGATTCGTCGAGTTATCATGAATCATTAGAGTAACGTGTAGAGCCCGCGTTGACCTTTTATCTAATAAATGCATCTCTTCCAAATGTCAGATTTTGTCTCACGTATTATCTCTTGAATTACTACGGTTATCTGAGTAGCAAATACCATTAAACAAACTATAACTAATTTAATGAGCTATTCGTAGTTTCACAATCTGAATGAGTTCATACTTACACATGCATGGCTTAATCTTTGAGACGAGAATATGACCACTAGTAGAAAAAATGCTATTTGTAACTGGCGAAATTAATTTTTTGTAACTGGCATTGTTCGTTGCGAATGCCACCGTTACAACTAGTGAAAATTATTCGTAACTGGCTAATGTTAGTTACTAATAATGTACTAGTCTATTTTTCAAGTTAGAAGCATACTATTCGTAACTGGCATTAAATTATGCCGGTTACAAATAGGGTATTATTTGTAACTAGCATAGCCTAACGCCGGTTACGAATAATCTTTTATATTATTAAAAAAAATGGCCGCAGTAGCAAACGCCCCTACTGCCACCACCCCCTCCTACACTGCATTTTTTTGTATGTGAAACACTATAAATAATTGATTTTTATACTAAATACAATAATGATTATCAATCTGAACCATATAAGGCCCAAGTTAAATGAAATTTACATATAAATCATCTAATCTATAATATAGCTAGAAAATGATATATTTACTTGTAAGTTACAAACATGTCTCTCACAAGAGTCATACAAACAAGTGAGTTGCTATGATATTCCCAATAAACTTTGGAATTTGACCGGACAATTGATTCACCATAAGAGACTCGTAGCCACTCCATAGTTTGTTGCTATACTGAATAGTATTGGTCCTTCGAAACCATTAGCTTGAATCTGTAGGCAAATAATTAATCAAATTAAAGTAACAAAGATATCATCATACAATCTGCACCTCAACAAATATTGAAGTAGAATACTTACACCTTGTAAATTCAACTAGAATCCTACTAAGAGTACTCCAGAGGAAGTAGAATTAACAACAATATCATAAGGTGAAGTATCACCTCTTACCTAAAGTTGTCAATATGTAATGGAACATAATTAGCTTAAGAACAATTCAGATTTGGTCACAATAAGAGATAAAATTTCAAAAACATACTATGAGAAATATTAGCCATTGACATTGATTTCTTTCCTCATACAATGATGAAGCATGCACATGATATGAAAAGAGCCTCTACATGATTGCACATAAAGAAAAATGACCTATTATATCCCCGTAATAGCCTTTAGATAATAACATTAAGAAAAATTTGATTCAGCTTTGACACCTTAACTAAGCCTAAGGGTACTATGTGTAATTAAAAGAAGCATTAGAAAGGTTGAGAAAGTTAGTAAGTGAGTCCAATGCGTGATGGAAATCAGTAAATCAAGTCCAATACTTTTGAATCTACTATCAAAATACCTAAATGCGTGCACATAATATACATTGCTATATATATACATTTTATAAGAAGAAAAATGGTAAAATAAGTTGTTGGTGGTCAACCCTTCTTTTACCAATCGTTTAAAGATCCCGCACATACTTAATTTTAATGTAAGCTTTCATTACAATTGAACCGCCTATTGTGACAAAATATATATGATACTATCAACGGAAACCAAAGAGCTAATTTTAAATCTTTGCCTCTATAGCTTATGATGAAAGTCAAGTGACATGGAAAAGTTACAAGAGAGTATGATATTGTTCCCAAAAAAAAATATTTAACCCACGCATCAATTAATTATAATATGCCTAAAAGGATATTTAAAAACCTTTACCACAACTATATACCCGGGATAAAATAGGAACACAATCAACAAATAAATAATATACTGAAAATTATTCAAATTCACAACCCTCACACCATCCCTTAAAGGAAATAGCTAGTAGGAGATATATACCATGATATCAGACTTCAAAAAAGAGCATGCCATAAGACAACACACCACACCCAAACACATTAGAGGAGCTCACATGACATACCAAAATATCCCCAAAGTTGTTCATTATGTCTGCAAGTACTGATTTTACTACTCTCTGAAATACTAATAATTTTAACATAATTGGTAAGTGGACAAGTTGGTGGTGAACCTTAATGATGATGAGTTGATGATCAATTGATTTCCCCGTCAATCATTGAACTGATTGTCCATTCACGAACGCTACAAGACTTGAAGTTTCCATATTCTGCAACACATGATACCCAAGCTCAATCAGAATAACCAAAGCACCTTGAAAAATAAAAGATAAAAAATACCAATAACGATATACTGAAGTCAATCAAACTAATTTCATACCTTCTTCTTCCGGTTGTCTTAATAATATCATATTTTTCAAAGTTAAACTTAGTTAAAGATATTTGATAAAATAGTGAATCACAAGAATATTGAACTTCAATATAAGATAGACAACTTCAAATCGTCCAACTACATAACATTTTGGGGTAAGATAGATAAAACCATACTATCATATTATATTGCAGGCATATGACTATGCAGAAAGGTCACAAACTATCTGATCTTATTTGGAACACTTCCTCAAATTCAATAACAATCCTATACATAAAAACATTCTACAATATAATAGCTAGAGAAATAATATCCAAAATAACACAAATCAAAAGATCAATTCCAATACGTCTCAGATCAACAAAAGCTCCAAAATCTCGACAAAACCAATACGACATTCTTTAATAATGGAGTACTAATGTACAACAAAAATAAAACTTTTTAATCACTATGAAAAGAAAAAGTTTCACAATGTCCAATGATATTTCAATAGCTTACTTGAACTGGCCACCACCGAGGCCTTCCAAAAATGTAACAAGTTCTCTAACCTTGAGTTTAAACACACAACAGCATAACAACCCCAACAATTAAGAATGCAACTTTTTTAATTAAATCAAAATTATTCATGAAACCTAATTTTTTTCGTTTTTAATTAGGTCTTTAATCCTCCAATTTGATTTGAAAATTTTGATTCGAATTTTAGGGTTCTTATAGAATTAATTAGAAAAGGGCTAATTACAAGCACCCTAATTCGAAGATACGCACCTTTAAAACTCGATTAAACCACTTCAGCTGAATTTCAAGATATTCTTCATGAACAAAAAGCAATTCTGATTGAATCCTTGGAGGAGAAGCTAGGTAGGAGAAAGGAGAACTAGAATGTCGCGCGGCATGGAGCGAAAGCAGGGAAAACTGAAAATAAAAATCATAAAAAAAATTTGAGTATAGAGCGAGATTGTTGAACTTCAATAAAAAAAAAATTTAAAAATGAAAGCTGAATTGTTATAAGAAAGTATTTGATCAAAGTTTATTTAACTTAATATTTGTAACTGGCGTTTGTGAACCACTTATAAAATATTTTGTCAAAGTTTATTTGACTTTATATTTGTAACCGACATTTATTTAGCCGGTTACTAATAAAACTTCATGCATTGACAAACAACTTATTAGTAACCCACATTTACTATGTCGGTTACTAATGTCATATTATTAGTAACTGGCATCATCTTAGACGGTTACTATAAGAGTTTTAGTAACTAGCATAACTTACGCCAGTTAGTAATAGGGTGTTACAAATAGCATTTTTTCTACCAGTGGGCTACTGGCAGGATCAACCAGGAAGCACTCCTCATTCAACACCGGCATACATGAGCTTTCCCTTTTGACGGAGAAAGTCAACTCGTACACGGACGTCGTTCGTGCTTAGCGTAAAACGCTTAATTGGGTTTGCGATGAATAAAAGCCCATTCCCCCTCAAAATTCTGCATCTCGGGGAATAGTTAGGGACCACACACCTGACCAACAACATTTGGTTTTTTCCATTGAGGTTGGAGGACGGACCCAACCACAAGATCCACCAAACATCTAAAAACGGATGTCAGGCGGAAACAAAAGATTTATATGGACATAAATACCGTCATTAGGAATTAAACATAGAAAACCATACCTCACTCAAGACTTACCGTACTTGGAGCAAATATTAAAGAGGTTTATCAGAGTGCGGTTTGATGCACAAGCATGAAGCCCGCCAACCAAAAAAACCGATAACTACTCACACGTTTTCCGTACCACTGTGTCAAGAAATCCCGAGCGTACAATCGACAACCACAAATATGGCTGCAAGAATTTGTCAAAATCCCTCAACTAGCACCGTAAGATGTGAAAAAAAACAATTCCAATCATTAACTCAGGCTAGACTCACTACTACGATGATTTCATGCAACAATGTGAAGAATTGGACTAGTCACGAATACTAATCGTCCTCGCTCGTATCCGATTATTATAGTCCGCCATCAATCCACCTTGAAACACTAAATCCTCATCGGTTCGCGGGTACCTTATGTAGACGTCTAAAATAAGGCAAAAGACAGAGTTCCATTAGTTCACCAAGGTTTTCCTAGCATGAAACCCCACAACCACAAACGTAATAGGAAGAATTTGCCGGAATCCCCAAACTCACATAGGTTCCCCGTCAAGGAATATTTGTCGCGTTGTACCACTGCTTCGCCGAATGAATCCCTAAACTACGTATCCTGAAATAACAAAAAGTCGTTACAAGAAATAGTTGAAAACACCCTAACTAACATAAATCACAACGTCAACGGAGGGACAATTAATCGAAGATAAGATGAGAAATATCGACTTCATAGATACATGTCACGCCTTCATCGTTCCTAGCTAATGGCCTGGTCAACATTTCCGGCCTCGAATGTAATACCCTGTATTTTTGTACACGTATTTTATTTAAATAAGTATTTTGTGGAGTATTTAAATAATTTGAAATGTTTTATTTATGACATTTTAATTATTTATTTTTAAATAAGTTTAGATATATTTTATAAAAGGAGAGTTTATTTAATTATTTATTTTATTAAAGTTGGGGTTTAATTTAGGAAAGTTTTATTTTAGTAAAGCTTTATTAGGAAAAGGATCAGGAAAGATTAAAAAAGGGAAGTTTGGGTAAGAAGGGTTTCTAGAGAAACTGTATAAATATTCAACACTTGGGCAAATTATACTTTGCCTAGAGTGGAGAAAACCCAAGGTAAACTTTCTCTCTCTTCTCCTTTATTTTTTTCTCTTTTTCTTACTTTCTTTTTTCCCCTTTCCCCTTGTTTCGGAACCCCATCGACGGCCACCACAACCACCGGTGGGCCTCCGACCACCACCACCACCGGTGGGCCGCCGACCACCAGCAGCACCAGTCGGCAACGGCGGCAACACCAGTGGCTAGCAGCAACCGGCAGTGGTGGCCGGCCTGCTTTTTGGACTTCTTCCCTTTCGAAAAAAAATAATCTTTCTTTTTAATTTTTGTTTAAACCTTAGATCTAATTGTTAAATATGGGTTTTATGATAATATTATGATGCTTGATTATAAGTAGTATGTAATTTAATTTTCAAATTTTAATTCTAATTAAAAAGCCCTAAGTTTGAAACCCTAGATTCATAAGTAATTTATTATTAAAGGATTATGATTTAGAGTGGTTTAAACCTTTAATTTAAGTGTTTTAAAGCATAATTACAGCAAGTTTTTATTAATATATAATGCTGGAATTTTTGGTAGTATATTAAAAATCAAGTTTCTTTAAGGAATTTTAATTACTCAACAATTGGGATTAAAGTATGAGATTTTAAATTAAATTTCAGCTTATTTAATTAAATTATGAGTGGTTTAATAAGAGAATATATTGCCGGAAATTTGTGTAGAGAGGATTTAATGCTCTATTATTATTTTAAATTGTAGGAAACTTTGAAGTGAGTGATTTCTATTAGTCGTGGCGATATTAAGATCGTATTCAAGGTACGTTCGCATACTTAGTATATTTTTGATGATGTAGTAGCATGCTAGATGTGATTACTTGATTACGAGTAGTATCATGCTAGATTATGAATGGAAAGTGTGATTAGGTTGATATTGGTGATTGAATTATGAAGCATGATTTATTTGTGATGGATTAATGATCGGAAAATAATAGTTTGACAAGTTGATTATGAACCACACTTTTATTTATGGCATGATAGAATGCATGTTTAATTAAACTAAATGTTTAATTTGGACTGAATATTAATAGGGAATTTTTTTATGGTTCATATAATTTTTATTGATGCTATAAGCATGAGAAAGGAGCTATGTAAGTGTCTGTGTACACGAGGAATAAATTGTATGTTGGTGCCTTAGTGCATAAGGTGTTTTTAAAGGGATAGGATTTTTGCGCATTAAGCATTTAAGGTGTCTTTGACACCGAGGTAGATTTAAAAGGGGTTCAACATTAAATATTATATGGTCACTAATTATTCAATAATTAAATTGGAGTGTTTAATTATTTGCATAATTATAATGTTTGATGTTATTATGATTTGATAGTCATCACCAAGTTTAATAATATGTAAAGAACGTAAAGTGAAAGAGATAACGCACCAAAACTCTTGGAACGTATATACCTTGAGTATGAACATATGGGGGGAGTTATGCGACTTTATATTTGACTATAAATTCTACTGGGAGTACAGGATGCTGTATTTTCCTTTTTTATTACTCGCAGGAATTCCTCCACTAATAGGGTGTCGTAAACATGTCAAAAATAAATTCCCAACAAAACCAACTAACAATGTAGTAGGGTAAATAGGGTCGAATCCACAGAGAGATGACTATTCAATAAAACTTCTAAGAAATTTGAGAAACTAATTTGTGTCATGAAATTGGGATAGAAAAGTAGTCTTAATTAAAAATAAGAATAAAACAATTAATAAACTAAATAAATTATTGGCACGGTTAGCTACCGTGTTAGTACCCCTTTATTGGGGCATGTTAGGGGCAAATTTGTTCGATGTGTAATCAAAACTAAATAAATTATTTAGTTACTTAGTTTAGAAGTTTTTTTGTATGTTGTGTGCTTAAAAACAGGTGCAATGAGGTAAGTTGTGTGTTGATAGGTAAAAGCATGTTAGTGTGTTTAATTACGCTTATTTACGCAGCTTTGCTGATTATGTGTTTGTTGGACTTGTCTTTACCTTGGCCCTATGATGACCCATTTTTAATGGAGAGTAACGAAAACAAGTAGAGAGAAGTTTTTCAGGTGATGAAGCATATTCATGATGGGCATGAGTGAAGAGCGAATCATGCTAGTTTCTATAAGTTTATGATGTGTTATTGCTTTAAATATATTATGATATTTCTATTGCGAGACTAACGTAAAGGTTAAATTGGATTGGTCTTGATAAGGGCATACAATAATGTTTCCAAATTGTAGGTTTGACTTTATTTTACTTTGGTTTGACTTTACTTTGGTTGGTTGACTATTTATGTTGAGTCATTTTAAATAATTTAAAAGAGAGTCTTCCGCTATGTGTCTTTGATAGTTGCCTTAGCCGTTTTTACAGTGGCGGTAATATCTTTTATTTTCCTATTTAGAGTTTTAAACAGGTCAAAACAGGTATTTTAAAAGAAAGAAATTTCTAGGGTGTTACATTGAAGCTATGATACCGTCATAATTTCCGCCTCGCCCCCGGTGAGATTTTTGTGTGCATTCTACTAGCGTTTGGCAATGCACACAACCTACCTCAACTCCAGAGCAGGCCCCGAAGTTGTATATAACTAAATTTTAGATTTTCAAGCTTGAGTTTCCCAATTCCCCTAAAGGGCTTTATAATGTACCCCTTGTAAAATTGAAGTGAACACCCGACTAATAGTAACACAATAATGGTCAAAACTTGTGAAAATGTTGTAATAACGCCCATTTTTTTGGTGGAATCCAAAGAGTGGGTATTAAGCTTCATTTTGGCACTTTTTTTTCCAAAAAATAATTTTTGTAGGCCCCAAAAATGGAAAATACGGGAAAAAGGCGATAATCGGGAAAAATGGGAAAGTTGCTAAAGTAGACCCAGAAGATAAGGAAACACTTTGGAAAAGAAGGGGGGATAGATTTTCGACACTTTGAAACATCCCATATTACCCGTATGCTCGTCTTTCGAGGTTTGGGGTTGTTTTGGACCGAGAATGTGTCAATTAACCTCAGGACATGGTGATAAAGGGACAATTTGTGTTAATAAATGATGGAATATGAGATGAGATGTGATATTTAGATTACAAACATGAATAGTAGCATAATTATTATCCATAGTCTATCATTAAGCACATCAATCAACACACATGTGAATAGTAGTATGACTATCCATAGTTACATCATATATAACATGTGTTCTTTTCCAATTCCAAGTCATAGTTTCAAGTCACATCACACCAATATTAATGGTTATACGACACTATTTTCCTTATATGACATTACTATTG